ATTCTCTCTAGTTATTGAATATTAGACACATAGTCATTTAATAATTTTATAGCATTGATTGGTAGCATTGTCCTTTACCAGGGTATATGTCTTGGGCTGTCTCCTAATTATTCACCCACCCCAAATTACAAGATATGGATTAAAGACTTTAGTGTCTCAAAGAAAAAAAGGAAAAATCTGGGTTCAGTTTTCCAGAATAACAGTCATTAGACATAACTAAATCAAGTAGCTTAAATAATGTCATCAGGATCGGGTATTTTTCTTTCTCATTCTCCTCATCTCTTGGCTCTATTTTCCTTTGTGTTGATTTCATCTCCATCTCGGGGGTTCCAAGAGCTCCGTGATTAAGATTATATAAATTAAAACAGTTCAGTGCAATGAGAGATAGTTGTTTTCCAGGCACTCAAAAGCTGTCCCAGCATTAGCCCTGATTGAGCCATCAAAAACAAAGTATTCAAACTGGAATCCAATACTAGTGCCAGGCTTTTGGGATACTTTGAAGGTCCAGTCTTGAACTCTACACCTACCCTAACACAGCCCCATCCAAAACCCAATGAACTGAGAGCAGGGAAGAGAGGTTCCCTGAAAGTATTTTTATCAAAGGAAAGAAAGACTGAGAAAATATCAGCAAAAAAACCCAGATAGCCTTCCAAGAGTATACAGTACAGTTTCTAACAGCAGAGCGTATATTCAGCGTGGACTTCCTATTCGCTACTAGTTATTACTAAATTAATGAAAAAAAATGTAAGTTTTTAGTGAGTGAAAGAGTCTTTTAGGATTATGATCAGCTCCTTTAGTAGAAGATACAAATAACAATAATATTAGTTTTTTGGTTGTTAATACTGTCATATTTATCACTCAGCAAAGGGAAACTTTTTTTGGACTTTTTGTTTTGAAATAAGTTAGATTTATAGAAGAGTTGCAAAGAAGTCCTGAGGCTTCATTACACCCCTCACAAATCCCCAAATCTTAGCAACTTACATAATCATGGTATATTTAGCAAAACTGAGAAAGTAACATTGATACAATAGTATTACCCAAAATATAGACTTTATGTTTTTTTTCCATTTTCTTTCGCTGGTTTCACATTTCCTGGAGTTAGTGCAGAATATCATGCTGTATTAGTCTTCATGTCTCTACAGTCCTGTCCAATTTGCAGCAATCTCTCAGTCTTTTCTTTTCCTCCACGACCTTGACACTTTTGAGGAGTACTGATCTGTATTTTATAGCCATTGGGTTTGTCTGATGTTTTCTCATGATTAGATTGAGGTTATGCATTATTGGAAAGTATACCACAGACGCGATGTGTCCTTTTCACTGCAGCATCTCGAAGCACCCAATATCAGCATGATTTATTACTGATGATGCTAACCATGATCACTTGGTTAAAGTGCTGTCTGCCAGGTTTCTCCAGCATATAATTACGATTTTTACCTTTGCATATTCTATTTGTTATAAGTGAGTCATTAAATCTAGCTCATACTCCAGAGGAGGAGAATTAAGCTCCACCTCCGTCAGGGAGGAGTATCAAAGAATTTGAAAATATGTGTTAAAACCATTTTAGTGGGGCACCTGGGTGGCTTAGCGGTTGAGCATCTGCCTTTGGCTCAGGTCGTGATCCTGGGGTCCTGGGATCAAGTCCTGAATCAGGTTCCCCATAGGGAGCCTGCTTCTCCCTCTCTCTATGTCTCTGCCTCCCATTTATAAATAAATAAAATAAAATAAATTTTAATAACACATATAATTTTGAGAAGATACCTAGAGGCTATGTGACTATCCTGTTTCTTCTTAAGGTTTTGCCAACTGAAAATATTCGTATTCATCAGCAGATATTGCCTATTGAAGTTATTACTGTGGTTATCTAGTGGTGATTTTATGATTTTTTTCTCATTACTGCTATATTATTTCCAGTACTACCATAAGAAAAATGTATTTCTTCTGCATATACTTATTCAAATATTTATTATATATTTATTATATCATTCTGATAAGAAAAATATACTTGGAGGAATCCTATTACTTGCTTCTCCCTCTCCCTCTGCCTGCTTCTCTGCCTACTTATGCTCTCTCTCTGTCAGATAAATAAATAAAATATTAAAAACCCCAACAATATAAAGCTACAGTGATCAAGAGAGTAAGACATTGGATGCAAGGAACAGAAGGAAAAAAATGAACTTTAGCCTAAACCTCACACTTCACGTACAAAAATTCACTCAAAGTGGAACATAGCTCTAAATATAAAACATAAAACTATAAAACTTTTAGAGGAAAATGTAAGAGAAAAATCTATGTGGCCAGGTGGTAGACAAAGTCTTAAATATGACACTGAAAGCATGATATATAAAAGAAAAAGATAAATTACCCTCTATCAAAATTTATTATTTATTTATTTATTTATTTATTTATTTATCTATCAAAATTTAAAAACTTTCTCTGAGAAAGAGACCTTAAGAAAATGAAAACAAACTATAGACTGTGTAAAAATATTTGCAAATTACATATCCTACAAATGAAATATTTTAAGAATATCTTACGAACTCTCAAAATTCAATAATCAGAGAAACAGTGCATTTAAAATTGGTCAATGGAATTGAACAGGCCAAAAGATGCACAAGAATATGTGCGACCTGGTTAGCCTTTAGGGAAATGCGGGTTAAAATCATGGTAAGATACCACTACACACATGTATTAGAATGACTACATTAAAACAGAAATACTATATTAAGGGCTGGCAAGCACGCAAAGTGGAGATCATAAATTATTGGTGGGAATGCAAAATGGCATAGCCAGTCACTCTGAAAACATTTTCACAGTTTTTTTTTTATAAAGTTAAACACAGACAGCATATGACCCAGCAATCCCACTCCTGGGTATTTAGCCTTGAGAATTGAAAACCAGTGTTTAAACAAGTATCTATACAAAAATGTTTATAACAGTTGTAGTCATATTTGCAAAAATGAAACAAAACAAATTTGGAATGAACCCAAATGTCCTTCAGTGGGTGAATGGATAAATGAACTGTGCATATCTATACAATGGGATACTAATCAGCCACAAAAAAGAGCAAACTGCTCATATATGCAAAGTATTAAGCAGAGTGAGAAAAGCCAGTTTTAGAAGGTTATATACCATATGGTTCCTTTTGTATGACATTTGAAAAGGAAAAAAAAACCTATATAGAACAGGTGAGTGATTGACAAATGTAGGGTCAGGAAAGGAATTGAGCATAAAGGATAACACGAAAGAGTTCTGTGGTATCCTGAAACTCTTCTGTGTATCTCGGTGGTAGTGGTTAAACAAATCCGTACATATGTTAAAATGTGCTGAACTATATATGAAATGAAAAAGTCAATACTATTGCATAAAAATTCGAAGTATGAAATTTAAAAAAATAAAATCAATACCAACTCATGGATAATTGTCTTAGTCTTTGTTAAAACCTAATATTATTATTTATTTATTTTTCCTCAGATGGTTTCAGCTGTGACTATTGGGATCCTTTTCAGAGCTCCCTGCATAAATATAATTTTTATTGGGATTATTTTAGGAAGATTTCATCAATGAGGGTCTAACAACTGAAAGGTCAGGAGAGGCAATTAATTATATAATTGTTGTAGGAAAATGATTAAATTCTTCCCATTATTCCATAATATTAAAGATAGCATCTGGTTGGTCCTGATTAATTTGTGATAGATGACTTATGATAGACATTCTTGCCAATTTGTGAGTTCCTACTTTCTAAATTGAATTCGTATTTTCCATTTTAAGAAGATATATGCTGATTTTTACAGTTTTCTACTTCAGCCTCACAAGAGTTTTAAATGATTTCTCCCCAGCTAGTGCACTGAGTAGGTGGCTACTTATTTGAAAGCCAAAGAAATATATTACTGACACTTACTTAACATTAACTGATGAATTGAGGAAAAGCAGAAAATGTCTTTGTATTTTCTAGCAGGGATTGATACCAATATTTTAAAGCATAATTAGGGACTACATAATTAATTTGGTTAGCATTAATTTTGGTAAGTAAAATCATTATTTCCTTTACATAGTGGAATGCTAGATGGGGTACTTACTAAACAATTATGCTATAAAGTAATATTTATAAATAAAACATTTAACATAATCTGACAGAAAATTATTTGATAGAATATTTTAAAAAGAATAATAAAAATTCCATGCTTTTGCAGAATGTGCTCTTGGGACAATAGCCTCTTGGAAATAGTGTAAAGAATTCTAGGTATAATGAAAATGCACTTCAGACTTGCAAATAGATTTCCATTGCCCTTTTAAAAAAATGTAAGTTAATCCTTGTTTAATACCTATCATTTTTTCCTAAGAAGAAAGAAGGAAAAATATGAGTATATGTGAAGGAATGCACGCCTGTGTGTGTGAGAGAGAGAGATAGAGAGAGAGACAGAAAGACAGAGAGACAGAAAGACAGAGGGAGAGAAAATATATTGACCCTTTAATAGTGGATTTGTATGATCTTAATGCCATATAGCTTCTGGTCATTTAGAAGGATTGTTATCTGTGGGATAAAACCATGGTATGGTTGCTGCAGTTTGTGGACAAAACAAACAGAGATAGTTTAAGTGATATGGATAACAACAGATTGACTCTAAAGCAGGCAGAAAATTACAGAAGCAGAGTTCCATTTTTTTACAATTATTAATGTGTTTTAATGTCTTGATGCTTTGATTATCCGTTAGAAACACTAGTATTAACAGCTGTAACAAGTCAAAATAGTATCAGCATTACATGAGTCACTACTTACCCTTTCTCTTCTCCTAGTATTGCCATCTTCATCCAGAGAGGGATTGTTTAGTGCTCTGTGGAAATTGTGGATTTCTTCTAATGATTTGGCATGAATCGTTACCTACGACACCCAATTATTGATCTCCTTTCAACCTAATCTTCTCAACTTTGAAATAAAGCCCAAGGACTGTTTGTCTGTATCTGCCTCAAGGAAATGCTTTTTCATTTTGTTTTGTCTTTTTCAGGGGGAAGTATAATGGCAGTCTCCTACTACCACAAATCATGCAGTCAACTTTCCCATGTTTGGGGGAAATCACAGGGGTCAAGACATTCAGAGTGCAGTGGACGAGCCTTACCTTGGGAAAACCACTTTTGTGATCATGATAACTCCCCTGCCATGTAAGTATTCAGGGAAATGCTTTTAACCTGGCATAGCTCTTATTAGAGATTTCAAAGTTGTAGAGCCATTTTGTTCGTGGCTGTGAAAAATGACAAAAGACTGGAAGTAGCAGAGGGATCAAGACATAAATGTTTCCTAGAAATCCTGGGACTGTCCCAGAGCAAAAACCTTACAAAGCAGCAGCAGCAGCCCGGACTGTGCGGGTGATCCTCCTGGTATGGATTCATGCCCCTGGAGTGTACTCCACGTGCCCCATTTTCTAGAGAGGAAATGACTCAATTTCTAACTTTTCACCTGTGTATCACAGCTCCACATGGATTTGCCGAGAGTTGAGTTCCTGGAGCTTTCTCAAAGTCACATTGTTGAGAGCCATTGTCCAGACCAATGGTGACATTAAATAGATATCAGACACACAGGAATAAAAGCTTTGTATAAGTAGGTCATAGAAAATATCCATTATGTATTTTGCCAAGTGGAATGAGGCAACAGAATCAATTTATTTTCATGCAAGCACTATCAACAAGCACTTAGTGCGGTACTAATGCCTGTGTATTAGGAGTAATACACAGTAGGTGCAAGCACCACAGGGGGCACTCTTGACAAATATATAAACGAGTTTTAAGAATTAACTGGGCAAGCACTTTCTGGTCTTTCTGATTCCCAGAGGTTGGAGCACAGTAATTGATTTCCCAGACTCATTGAGTCAAACATGAGATACAAGGATGAATAAAACATAGTCCTTGACCTCAAGTAGACTGATGAAACATTATAACAGGAGAAGAATTTTATGATGAATATAAATACAAACATTAAAAGTATTAGAATATAGCGACGATGAACTAATTTTGTTGAGATTTAACACACATTCTTTCATAAAAGACTCAAACTGACCCTGTCAGGGAAGGGACAGTAGCCAGTTAGCAAAAGAGAAAATGAAATTCTTCAGGGAATCATTCAGTCTCCCGTAGTCAGTAAGTAACAGATTTAAGATTTGAATTTCTGTTGTTTTTTCTTCAGTTCTTAAACCTATATATTTCCATTACATCTACCAGAAACATATAGTTGAGCGAGGAGGGGAACACTCCCTGCAAGATGGCAGCTTAGAATCAAGAATGATTTTATATTAAAAACATGTGTCAAAGGTGAAATAGGAGTTTAAGACATTGACAAAATGAGGAGTGCTTTACTTGCAAGGGTTCACACATTTTAGGAAAATTCAGAATATTTTTCTTTTTATGTTTTCCAATAGAGATTAATCTATAATTCAGTCTTTATGCAGATAAGAACTATAATTTATTATATAAAGAATGTGCTACTTCAAGTAGTTCCCCAAGCAGAAGAATTAAAATAAAATAAAATAGTAAATAAAATGCCAGATTGCAAAAGCATTCTTTTGTTTTTTTGTTTGAAACAACAAGTAAAAGAGCACTCTGTTTTTAAAGGGCTCACTGCCAATAAGTCAATTGGAAAAGGACAAACATTATATGGTCTCATGCATTTGGGGAATATAAAAATTAGTGAAAGGGAATAAAGGGAAAGGAGAGAAAATGAGTGAAAATATCAGTGAGGGTGACAAAACATGAGAGACACCTAACTCTGGGAAATGAACAAAGGGTAGTGGAAAGGGAGGTGGGCGGGGAGTTGGGGTGACTGGGTGATGGGCACTGAGGGGGCACTTGATGGGATGAGCACTGAGTGTTATGCTATTTGTTGGCAAATTGAACTCCAATAAAAAATTTTTAAAAATTTAAAAAAAGAAACCATAGCAAAAAAAAAAATAAATATAATATAAAATAAAATAAAATAAAATAAAAGGCTCACTTGCCTGTTGCTCATTGTCAGCAGTTGCAGAGATGGTTACTTGAAAATACTTCTGATGGTTATATTCATCCTCTGTTAAAATTTAACACAACTATAATATGGCCATTTTTTCATAGGACATGCCCCTAGGAAGAATGCTTATGTGTGATGTTTGCCTTTTGGGATAATTTCTTGTATTTCTTTAAAATAACTTCTTAAAGTGTCTAGTTTCTCACCCTGCATCAATGCTTCCTTATCCCACTTAATGATAAAACCAAAAACTCACTCTAACTGATAAAGTTGGATTGACAATTATACACAGTACTAAGAATTTGAGTTCTGTTGCTATACCAAAGAATACTATGCCGTTAACAAGTAGGAGATTTTTTTTTACTCTTTGAAATCCAAAAAAAAATTTAACATAATACTACTACATCAACAAGTTAAATAAGAAAATAATATGCAGTGATTTAGTAGATGTCTACAGTATTTACTACAGTTTAAAATCAGACCCTAATGAATGCATTTTGCATTAGAAAATAAAAGCACTCTCCCTTGCTTAAATAGGAAACCAGTATTACAATCAATAGCAACATTTATGTACACTCCATGTGCATATATGCATGTCTGAGTGTACAGATATGTACATTTTTTAAAAGTTGAAGTGTGGTTCACATAATGTCACATTAATTTCAGATATAATGCTTAGTAATTCCACAAGTCTATACATTATGCTGGATGCACCACAAGTACAGCTACCATCTGTCACCTTGTGATGTTGTTACAATACCATCGACTATATTTCCTATCCTGTACCTTTTATCCCCATGACTTATCCATTACATAACAGGAAGCCTCTATCTTCCACTCTCCTTCACTCATTTTGTTGATCCTATATCCCCTTCTTGTTTGGAAACCATCATTTTATTTATGAATTTATAGGTCTTCTTCTGATTTCTGTTTGTTTATTCATTTGTTCTGTTTTTTTTCCTTTTTTAGATTGTAATATAAGTGAAATTATAGGGTATTTGTCTTTCTCTGACTTATTTCACTTAGCGTAATGTATTCTAGGTCCATCCATGTTGTTGCAAATGGAAGATTTTATTCTTTTAGGGCTAATATTCTAGTGTGTATGTATGTGTGTATAGATCTATATATCTACCACATCTTGTGTTGTCCATACATATATTTTTTTTACTATTATTAGAAAGAGAGAAGGAGAGCTCAAGTGAGAAGGGAGGGGTGGAAGGAGGAGAGAGAGAACCCAAGGGCATGGAGCCTGAGCCAGGGCTTAATCCCATGACTCTGAGATCATGACCTGAGCCAAAATCAAGAATTGAACATTTAATTGACTGAGCCACCCAGATGCCCTTGTAAATAATGCTTCAGTGAACATAGGGGTGCATATATCCTTTCAAATTAGTGTTTTTGCTTTCTTTGGGTAAATACCCAGTAGTCTAATTACTGGATCATATAATGTTTCTTTTAAAAAAATTTTTTATTTGTTTTTTGTTTTTTTTTCTTTTAAAAATTTTTGAAAAGTCTCCATACTGTTCTCCACAATGGCTGCATCAATTTACATTCCTACCAACAGTGCATGCAGGTTTTCTTTTCTTTACATTTTCACCTACACTTGTTCTTGTCTTTTTATTATAGCCATTCTGACAGGTATGAGGTGGTATATCATTCTGGTTTTGATTTGTATTTTCCGGATGATGAATGATGTTGAACATCTTTTAATGTGCTTGTTTGCCATATTTATGTCTTCTTTGGAAAAAATGTCTTTTCGTCCTTTGCCCATTTTTAATCAGAGTATCATCATCATCATCATCATCATTGGGTGATATATGAGTTCTTTATATATTTTGGATTTTAACTTCCTATTGGATATATCATTTGCAAATATCTCTCTCATTCAGTAGGTTGCCTTTTTGTTTTGTTGATTTGTTTGTTTTCTTCACTGTGCAAAAGCTTTTTATTTTGTTGTAATCCTAATAGCCTATTTTTGTTTGTGTTTCTTTTGCTTGAGGAGATATATCTAGAAAAATGATTCTACAGCCTGTGCCAAATAAATTCCTGCCTGTGTTTTCTTTCAGGGGGTTTATGGTTTTAGATTTCACATTTAGGTCTTTAATCCGTTTTGAGTTTTTTTTTTTTTTGTATGGCGTAAGAAAATGATTCAGCTTCATTCTTTTGCATGTAGCTGTCCAGTTTTCTCAGCACCATTTATTGAAGAGACTGTCTTTTTCCCAGTGCATATTCTTGCCTCCTTTGTTGTAGATTAATTGATCATGGAAGTATAGGTTTCTGAGCTCTCTATTCTGTTCTATTGATCTCTGTGTCATGTGCCAGTACCATGCTGTTTTGATTACTACAGCTTTGTAGTATACCTTGAAATATGGTTTGTGATACCTCCAGCTTCATTCTTCTTTCTCAAGATTGCTTGGGTTATTTGGTTCCATACAGATTTTAGTATTATTATTCCTAGTTCTGTGAAAAATTTCATTGGTAGTTTGACAGGGGTGGCATTGAACCTGAGGATCACTTTTGGTGGCATAGACATTTTAATAATATTAATTTTTTCATTCCATGAGCATGGAATACACTTTCTATTTGCGTTATCTTCATTATCATTCATCAATGTTTTATGGTTTTCAGAGTCAAGTGTATGCATTTTTAATAGATTAGAGACACAGAGCAAGAGAGGCAGAGACACAGGCAGAGGGAGAAGCAGGCTCCATGCAGGGAGCCCAATGTGGGACTCGATCTTGGGACTCCGGGTTCACACCCTGAGCCAAAGGAAGACACTCAACTGCTGAGCCACCCAGATATTCTGAGAATGGATTAATTTAAAAGTCAGGAATAATACTTCTGTATTTTTTTTTATTGAAGTTCAATTTGCCAACATATAACACGCAGTGCTCATCCCATCAAGTGCCCTCCTCAGTGCCAGTCACCCCCACCCCAAACCCCAACCACCTCCCCTTCCACTACACTTTGTTCGTTTCCCAGAGTTAGGAGTCTCTCATGTTTTGTCACCCTCTCTAATTTTTCCCATTCAGTTCCCCTCCTTTCCCTTATAATCCCTTTCACTATTATATTCCCCGTATGAGTGAAACCATGTGATGATTGTCCTCTCATTGACTTACTTCACTCAGCATGATACTCTCCACTTCCATCCACGTCAGAGCAAAGAATGGGTATGCA